AAGGGGGGGGCGCCGGTCAAAAGTCATCCCGACACATTGGCAAGTTGATGAAGGTGAAGACGTTGTATTCGATGAGGACGGAGAAGCACAGGAAGATGGCGTACAGGAAGAGCGCGTAGTAGCCCAGCCTCTTGTCCAGTTTCCAGTTGACTCTTTCTATCAGGATGTAAAACCTGAAGGGCCAATCAGTGGTGTCACACCCCCTTGTGACGCCACTGATTGGCCTCTGCATTGTGGTGTTCAAAGGGGTTCATCCCGCACCGGGTGACACCATCAGAGAGGATGACACCAAAATGGCTCACGGTCATTTTGGTGTCACCCCCTCTGAAAAGTCAGGCACTCGGTCATGAACAAAGAGCCCGACAGCTGCATGAGTGAGGAGGGAACCCGGCGGCATACCTTATCCCACTGGATAAAGGTCCCCTCCTCTCCTTGAAGGTGTCCATCACCAAGATGGTCACTGGCAGTTAAGCGCGTGTGATGTCATTACGTGTGTGCATTATGACATCCAACGGGTGACGCCCGGCGGCCACACCAGGTGACACTACGGCCTGGGGTCGTCTCTGTGGCCAATCACCAGCCCTGAACTCTGCTACATGGGGGAGAAGGTCATTAACCCTGTGTGAGCTCTGACACAGACCAACACGCATCTCACTCAGGGTTTAGACCTAGGGCGCTAACAGACAAACTGGGCACCAGGAGAGCATGGCAAAATGGATGGTGGGCTACCAAGAGAGCCGTCACTTTATACTGATGGGTTCCAGTGAAAAAAAAATTAGATCTTTTTGAGCTATGCTTGACAAATGACCACTTTCCTATATTTTTCTACAAAATTTTACTCGTGTTTATTGATAACACAGCAACATGGAATACTCCTAATCTGCAAAACTAGGAAATATTTGTGGCCAAAATCTAAAAGATATCACACCTCCTGTACAAAGTTTTCTCTGACTATTAAAATATTGCAGAATAACATTGCGCAGTACTCAATCAGCCCAGCACGTGGAGCTCTAGTCTTCTTTTCAAATTTTCAGCTATTTTAGCTGTGCTTAAAGAGAATTATGAGGGGGGGGAGGGGGTGCTTTCCACTCACCTCATAGTTCTAGCCGACCTGTGACAATGAGACTGTCACAGGTCGGCTCAGTAGATCGGGGGGTGAGCGAACACATACCGGCGTTCGCTCACTTCTTGATCCTGTCACGGTTCTCTGCCGTGACAGTGGGAGGGGCTGGATTCCCCCCTCCCAGCTCCGATCTGCCAGCGCTGACTGGC